ATAAATAAATTGTTTTTCAAAGATAAACTTTGATTTAAAAAAAAAGTTTCAGCTTGCCCCAGTATACCTTAATCAGTTTACCGGATATATTTTCTCATGGAATGTGTGAAGAGTTCCAATTCTTCAAATGCACATGACATATTTTTACATCATCCACATACGCACTGAAACTTAATAAAGTCTGTAATTGTTCCATACAACATGATGTAAATGTAATGACTATCGCATTTGTTTTAGGGCCCAGATCACTGAGCATGTGTTCTAACAATCGGAGAAAAGTTACCTTGTCCTTACTGCATAGCTAACTTTTTGTTCAAAAGCTGGATCAAAATGCAGTCTTCAACAAAGTCATTTTGCACGATTTTACCAATCAATATGTCAGGATTTTACGGGAACATTTTCAGGTTACAACAAATTCTATTCAAACATGGCACAGTCCCTACGTTAGGGGCCTCATAGCCTAGTAAGTAAAGGCACGGTATTACCAAGCCGGAGGCGGCGGGTTCGATTCCGCGGTCCGGTCGAGGGAATCTTTCGGGTTGGAAATTTTCTCGACTTCCCAGGGTATAGAGTATCATCAACAAATCAATACGAAACTAACGATTTTAAATTGGCTCACTACTTGACTAGCCTATTGGTCTCAATCAAACGATTAACGTACCCCATTCTAGTCGAAATTCTAGTACTACGCAATGCTTGTTTTGATTCGCTATGAAAGTTTGACAGATAAAATAAGAGGTTATTGGTTTTTCCTTTGTTTCGAGGGGTGAATCGATTAGCTTAGGACCGAAGAGAGTGCCAGAGCTGAGCCAAAAAGTTGAGCACGTTATTTCGGGACCTTCTAGTCTTAGAGTTACCTCTATGGTATCATTGTGCTTGCCACACAATATACAAATTCATGCATTGGTATTGGCATCGAAAGCTCTCAATTAATAACTGTGGAAGTGCATTTAGTAGAACACTAAGTTGAGAGCACGCAATAAGCTAATATGCGCTAAGCAATAAGCTTGAAATGCGAAAAAGAAGAAGAAGAACAGTCCATACGTCAACTCAAACCGAAAAAGCTGTTGGAGATCATTCATTAATTATGTATGCACTTTTTTTGGATTTCAAATCCTTTCCTCCCCCCCCCCCCCCCATCAAGCAGTCTTAGTAATATGTTGCACAATGGAGGAGGAGGGGAGGGGGTGCAAGATTTTTCATCAAATCTTTAAATAGTGTGTATATCAAATCAAAAGCAAGTTCTATTATTGAAATTGGGGACCAGAACATCAAACATTCTAATAGCAATTGAGTGATTTATGAGGTAAAATTTAAAAAATAATTTATTTTATTTATTTATTTATTTGATCACCATCTTCGACTACGTCGTACAGACTCATTACTTAAAACCTAATTTAATCTAAACGCCTTATTCTAGCACTAAACACATGTTTGGTCAAAATAAAATCAAACTCGCTACAAACATCATTAAAGGAACGCAAACAAGAATTAAAACAATTATTGAATCCAAAGTTCGTTCTGTGAAATGGAATTGCAAGCAACGGGGAATTACATAATCGTCGAGGTGGAGTATTCCATGGAATCAGTTCCAGAAGTTCAGGACAGTCCACGTTTCCTGTTATGAGGTCAAAGATAAACAGTCGTTGCAATTTGAGACGCCTGGCAGAGAGGGATTCCAAATCAATCAGCTTGCATCGGTCGGGATAACTTGGAAGATTGACTGGATCATTCCAGGGGAGCTGACGCAATGCAAACCTTATAAAACTTTTCTGAATCCTTTCAACCGCAAGGATATGCGTAACGTAAAATGGAGACCAAACCGGGGAAGCATATTCTAAAATGCTGCGAACCAGCGAGAAGAATAGCGTCTTGAGACAATAAACATCGGTGAAACCAGAAGCATGACGACGAATAAAACCAAGCACAGTATATGCTTTAGCAGTTACGATGTTTATGTGTTCGTTAAACCTTAGCTTCGAATCGATCGTAATGCCTAGATCACAGATTGAAATTGCACGTTCTAGAGAATCCGGCCCCATGTAATATTGATGGTGAATAACGTTGTTGCAGCGAGTGAAGGATATTATTTTGCACTTTTTGCTGTTTACGCGCATGCCGTTGTCACCGCACCAGACTATCACACGATGTATATCTTCTTGCAACGCGACACAGTCAGTGGGAGAAACAATCACACGGAAAAATTTTAGATCATCGGCAAAAGAAAGTTTGGATGATGAGAGCATGTCACACAGGTCATTAACATAAATGATAAAAATAAGAGGACCGAGAACACTGCCTTGTGGTACGCCAGATGGTATGTTGAAAGTCCTGGAGCGTGCGGAATTCACCATCACGAAAGCATTGCGATTAGACAGGTATGAATAGAGCCATTCAGTGATCCATGTCGGAAATCCAATGTGGTTCATTTTGGCAGCGATGAGATTGTGCGGTACTGTATCAAACGCTTTCGCAAAATCAACATAAACCGAATCCACTTGTTGCTTCGATTCTAAGCTACGGGATGTCGCTGATACATAACACATTAAGTTCGATGTTGTTGAACGATGCTTCATAAAGCCGTGCTGACTGTTGGAGATGATCGGTGCAGCAGCTCTGTACAAAACGGTGTGGATCAGTTTCTCAAATACCTTACTGAGACTACAAAGTATGGATACACCTCGATAATTGGTGACACACTTGTAGCTTCCGGATTTATGGATCGGTACTATGGACGCCATTTTCCATGCATTTGGGAACGTTCTGTCTTGGAGCGAACGGTTGAAAACAGCAGCGATGGGCGTCGCCAGCGTAGCGGCGCAGTTCTTCAAAAACACAGGAGGCAAGCTGTCTGTTCCGGGTCCTTTCTTTGAATCAAGCTCATCGAGAAATTTCTGTACTTCGTCTGGAGAAAACTGTATACACGGTAGATTAATGTTATGGGACGGTATCTGTTCAAAACAGTTTTGACGTTGCACGGGTGATGCTTTACTAAACACGCTCTCGAAGAAAGTAGCAAAAAGATTGGCTGCTTCTGAGCTTGACCGAGAAGTAGTTCCATCGAAGTTGACTGAGCCAGGGATTCCATTTCCAGCTTTCCGTTTCTTGATGAAGTCCCAGAAGCGTGAAGGATTTTGCTTGACGGTTGACTGAATACTGAGCAAATAGTTTTCATGTGTTGCAGAAAGAATGACTTTGTACTCCAACTCAAGCTCACGGAGTCTAGCTTTGTCAGACCCAGTTTTTGTAAGGAAATATCGGTTGCGCATCTTACGTACATTGTTACGAAGGTTACGTAGCTCAGGAGTCCACCACGGTTGGTTGAAAACAGATATCGATTTTTGTCTTTTTCGAGGTACATGACGGTTGATAACTTCTGAGAGAGATTCGTAAAAAGCTGATAGCATCTGATCTACCGTATCATTATTCGATAATCGTTCCCACTCAATATCAATAAAAGTAGAGTTCAACAAGACAAAGTCGCATGCAGAATAGTCAAATTTGAAACAATGATCATGATCGTCAAGTAGTGTTGGTGCGTCACTCTCGTCAAGTAGTAAAATAACTGGTGTGTGATGGTTATCTATAGGCAACAGCGGAGAAGATGGTGCAATCAGGTCAAGATATTCCGGTAGATTGGTAAAAACAAGGTCCAGCAGTCTGCCATTTGTGTTGACGAAACTATTAATCTGTCTCAACCCGTTGGCAAACATTGCTTCTGTAAAGTTCAACTCAGTATCAGTAGATACATTCGAAGGAATGAATCCATTAATGTCCTCGTCAAGATGCCATCGCAAATTAGGAAGGTTGAAATCGCCAACCGACAAGATTATGTCAGACTCCGATAGACGATCTGCAACAAGTTGCACTGCATTAGCATGAGCAGTATATAATTCGGTACTCGAATTAGGTGGGAGATAGATAGCAACTACGTAAAGCGAACGAAGTTGTGACTTTATGCAAACTGCGATTTGTTCTAGTTCATTACAGTTAGCCATCGAAACAGATTCACACTCCAGTGTGTTCTTAACCGCAATCAGCACTCCACCACCCCGCAAATGGCAACTGGTCAATTCATTGCGATCACAACGGAAAAAAACGTAATCAGACGAGATTTCACAGCTATCAATATCTGCACGGAGCCATGTTTCCGTAAAGACAAGTACGTCATAATCACAACTGGACAACAGCACACGCACACTCACATTATAATGCCATAAAATCTATGCTACAATAATTGAGTAATAGTAAAGTTACCTGTTGCCTTATCTAAACAATAGCAAAAATCATAGCTAACTAATATCACATTTTGCTATTATTTCTCATAAAGCTTGCTTGAGTTAATCAATATAGGGGAAATGGATGTAATGTCGGCCTAAATACCCCTAATTTGGGTTCATACATAAATTCAGTAGTCGGCGAAATTTTCAATAGCGACCAAAAATATCCATTAGAACCGTCCCAATGACGCGTTAATCTAGATAAAATTGATAAACAGCAGATTTGTTGTGACGGGCCCAATCTTAGATCCATAGGCCAACATTAGAGCCATTTCCCCTATTGACATATTAATAGCTTATTTTGCTACGGAATCAATATTAGCTCTTGAATTCGTGATATCAAAATATCATAGCAATCTCAAATTATGCTCTGATAGCAGAATAAGATTTTAACATGTTTTAGCATTTTAACTTACGTAAGAAGATATTTGTTATTCCCCCTGTACCCGGGTTGTTTATGCTTACGTAATATATTTCTAAGAACCTCATAGGTCCCTAGGCAGCGGAGGGTTGTAAAGATGCCCCACCCTAATGGTGACAAAAGCAAACATAATGTTTAGTTCCGATACTTGGATACAATTGCCGTAATCACATTGATTTTTTTAGCAATCGCTATTGTTAAGTAGAAAAATATACTGCGTTTCTTAATTGCCCATAAAGATTCGATACCGTCGATTTTTTATCGTCTTAAGAGTTCGATTCTACACTTTTTATACTTACTTGACATCTATCTCGTTAAACTTGTTTTGGTCAGCGAATTCGGCTTCGGGTTTGCACATAAAATACGGCACACAGGTACATTTTTCTCCTTGAGCCGTGATTAGTGTCATCGGAGAGAGTGTAGGCGAATTTGGCTAGTTCGATTGGAGAAGAATAAAAAATATAGTAAGAAGTCTATAAACCGGTAATATTGTCAGAAAACGAACTGTATAATGTAACCTACCCCCAACGGATCTGGTGTGACCACTTCATCGATGCTAGCTCGGTTGGCAAAGTCCAGAATTGATGTTTCATTTTCTGGGAAATAGACTTTGTCAATCGACTGTTGGGCCGTTGCAACCGCAACGGCGATTGCAGCTACCACCAATGCCACCTTCATTTAGAGCTCTGCAAGACGAAAGGAAAATCCTTAAACAGACGTCCTTGAATGGTTCAACGAACAAAACGTTTCTGTTGAAGCGGAAACAAGCACCACGCTCTCTGATTGGCCAAGGAAGGTTCGCAATCAAGTTGGGTTATTCAATAATGTCAGGGACTGTGACCTCCAACGATTGCGATAAAGTTTAACTAGAAAGAACTCGGCCCAGTTTCAATAATCGTTTAATTTTACAGATAAATTTGCAAATAACATGATTAAATCGATAGCATGTAAGCCTTTGGATCACACGGATCAACAGGCATTAAAAATTCCCAGCTCATTAGAAAAATCAATTTGGGGTTGTTTTTTTTTAACATCAAATTGTTATAACAAACAAAAGGAAAAAAACACTCACATTATTTAAACGGTCAAGAGAACAGATTAACCACAAATACGTTTTCAAACTGCACTCTTCCGAGGCCGACAGTGAACTGAGGCGAGAGGCTAAAATCGACCGAAATGAACGAACGTTGTCCGATTGGCGTTGATAGGGGTCAACCGAAAACAAAGTAACATTCTGCTCTGTAGTGCAATAAAAGATTAGCTTGCCAGGACCCTAATTTTATGTACCTGTGAACATTCCAAAAATATAAGAACTCATTTTTCATTACTTTAATACGATTCTCGGATGATCCCCAAGGTCAACGAATAAGAAAACAGGTACATACGCCGAACGAATGAAAAATAACAAATCAGCTGAACACTACAACCGGTTCATCGCAGAGTGGTGAGCAACGCCGGGAATCCCAAGCTGGACGATCCAGAAGAATAAATGGAAAATTACTTATGTTCTTATTTTAGTGCTTGCTATTTGTTCCTTGAAAAAATTGTCTCCAGGTGTTTCAAACTTGAATAACGTTGTATTTTTAAATTTAATCAGCCAAGTCATGATCGTTGGCAGAAATAATTATTTATATTGCATAAGATGTAATCGAATAAGAAGCAGTTCGGGGCGAGGTTCGAGGGACCTCAAAAACTATTCAGCGTAAATTGTTATCGGTACAGTTGAAACGATTAATCGAATCAATGTTTTCGTTTGCCCAGTGAAGCGATGGATCGGCTTCATCAAGAAAGAAATATGCTTCCTATCAAGAGCATATGCTTTGTGTTTGTGGTGGTTGCTCTTCTTTCGATTATTAGCAAATTCAAGCTGAACATTGCATTAGGTCCAAAGTAACATTGACAGATTCTCTTCGTCGACTTTCTCTTTGTATCCTCTCTGGAGATTACCAGGTATTTTCAGCACACAGATCGACAAAAGAAGCTTTTATCTAGCATCTAGTACGACAAACACAACACGAAACGGTTATGAGCTCAAGATATTAACGAAAGAAAAAGCGACAAGGAGAATCGATCAATGTTACTTAGGACCTAATGCAATGTTCAGCTTGAATTCGTTTTTTTTTTAGTGTGAAACATACAAACTTGCGGCAAACCTTAATTTTTGTCAGTGCAAACCTCAAGCAGAGGTACACGGTAAGAAAAAAGTACCAAAAAGTAAGTTCTGTTCACTCATCTCGGCACTATAGTGTAGGAACCCAAAAGTAGGTAAAGCTAATCAAAGTAGTTTTCATTTACTTGTGTGCAATTCGTATGGAATTTTCCACTAGCTTTCTACCCAAAAGTAAGTTAGTTGTACCCAAAAATAGGTAAATATGATTATACGCAAAGTGTGTTATTTAAGCTCTATACAGCTCGAGTAGCTAGATTGAAAATACTTTACAGCTGGCTTGTCATATACTATATACTTCTAGATAAATGGCTTTTCAAAAGGACGATTAGACAAAAGACAGCACGCTTTTAGAGCTGGACGCGGGTTTAAACGTACATGGCGGAGTTGAATAGGTCACTTCCCAATCGTGATGAACACTGCTTGATAGCATCACTCGGCATATCGAAAGCATATTATACTACCTGTATATACGGCATTTTTACGCACTCTGCGGAAGTGGCAGATAGGTGGGCTGCTGTCGTTTTGGTCGTTTTAACGGTTAAAATCTCAAAATTGAGAGCAAAAAAATCATCCTGTGAGATCAAATTAAAATCTGATTCAGTGAGAGCAAACTGAAACCTCAATTTGATATACATTTGTTCCTGTTGATAACACAACGAGTATTCAATTTGATGTTCTGCCAAGGCAATCAAAACAAAACTGCAGCAACATATTCAGTGGTTGATTTGCTGTAAAAATACACTACTGAAAGCAACAAAATCAACAGCATATTCAGATGTAGATTTGCTTTAAAAATGTCCTACCGAAAACAAAATTTTAATAACAAATTCAGTTATCGTTTTGCGATTAAAATGTGCTAGTGACAACAGAATATAATTTTATTTATTTGGTTTTATTTCTTTTGATTGAATAACTAAAGCCATTGTTAATTTATCATTTTGAATTCGATTTTTATTTTAGTCGAATTAACAAATCATAACAGTTGATTTAATGCTAAATAGTTCGTATATATGTCTATAATAGTCGCTAAACTACTAATATACTGAATAAGTAGATTCTGTAATTCTCATCCAGAGCAAGTATGCTTACAGCCCTTGGTGGGGCCCTGTCTCATTCAGCATACAACATCAATCTGTCTGCTGGCTCCGACTATCACGATGGATCGGACACCTACGATATAGATCTACCCGTCGACCAGAGTGGCAGTCACCGTCGCGATGACACTAGCTCCACAATCACAGCGCGCTCGTACCCCACTCCTGCCTTGCCTAAGCCAGTAAACTTCATCCTGCAGTGGAACATTAACGGGTTCCTGAACCACATTGGTGATCTAGAGCTCCTTTGCCACGACGATCCCCCCTGGGTCATTGCACTCCAGGAAACTAACAAAGCGACAACAGACCAAATGAAACACTCTCTAGGCGGTAAGTATACGTGTGCATACCTGCCATGCGGACGGCTGCCAAACCTGCACGATCAACTCAGCGAAGGCATAGCTAAACTACCGAAACCGCGCATCCTGGTTGGGGATCTGAACGGGCACCACCCAAGCTGGGGCTGCCCCCGCTCCGACCCTCGAGGTGTTACCCTGGTCGATATTTTCGAGAAGGAAGACATGTCGATTCTGAGTGACGGTGTGCCCACGTACTCTAACGGGCGGCATACTTCTGCCATCGACGTCTCTGCTGTCAGCCGCTGCTTTGCCGGAAAAACTCAGTGGAGCGCGAACACGGATCTTTATGGTTTTGACCACTACCCCATCAAAGTTCAACTTTCAACCGCCATCTTTCCGATGACAACACGGAGGCCCCGATGGCGCTATGAACAAGCGGACTGGGATAGCTATGGTGAAGCCTTTCAGTCCTTGTTACTACAGCGTAATCCGAACAGCATTGAAGACTTTTCAGAAGTGGTATACGAAGCAGCAACAGCAACCATCCCAAAGACCAGCAGCGTTCCGGGGCGAAAAGCGCTACGCTGGTGGAATGAAGATACAAGGAAAGCCGTTAAAGCCCGGCGTAAAGCACTTCGCCGTGTAAAACGCCTTCCTATCGAGGACGCTGAGTCGCACAATCAATGCCGGCAAGAAATCCGTGTCGCCAAACGAACCAGCTGGATGGAATTTCTGAATGAATTCGTCACAGTCTTCGGCCGACTTATGGAGGCAAGTCAACGCCCTCAGTGGGAAACGGCGCATGACACCGCTCCACGTACAGATTAACGGTGAAGCTGTTTCTGACCCTGCAATTGTAGCGGACGAACTCAGCTCGTACTTTGCCGATCTCGAAGCCATCAAGAAGTACGAAGACGAATTCAAGCGGAAAGCTAAGCCTTTGACGTCATCCATTGCAAGTTTTTCTGTTTCTTCTGACGCTGGAAACTCGGACATCAACCAAGCTTTCAACAAGCTCTGGCTCACCAACTCGTATCCAGCGTCGTGGAAAGAGAGCTTAGTCATTCCCATCCCAAAAGCCAATGAAACAACCCGTGAAGCTAGCAAGTTCCGGTCAATAGCCTTGACATGCTGTATGGCCAAGGTCCTGGAGCGAATGGTCAACAGGAGGCTAAAGCATTTCCTTGAAGCCGAAAACCTGCTAGACCATCGACACCACGCCTTCCATCAAGGGTACGGAACGTCAACATATTTTGCAACATTAGGGGAGGTCCTCAAGAGTGCCAACGATAGCGGTCTCCACACCAAGATCGTCTCGCTGGATATATCGAAGGCCTTCAACAGGACGTGGACGCCCCTCGTCTTTCAGAGTCGCAGTGGGCAACACTAAGTCCCAGCATTTCAGAGAAGAGACGGGCGTCCCACAAGGTTCAGTTATTGTCATTACCCTCTTCCTTGTGGCCATGAACGGAGTTTTCGGAGGACTGCCGAAAAATGTTTACATTTTCGTGTATGCAGACGATGTACTTATCGTAACTACCGGCCCAACAGCAGCACGCAACAGGATCAAGGCCCAGGCAGCAGTCTCCGCTGTAGCCATGTGGGCCAGCGCGGTAGGTTTCCAGCTTTCGGCCACCAAAAGCGTCAGGTGCCACGTGTGTCCATCCCGGCACCGTGTCAGCGGGCCACCTATTAAAGTTCAAAGCCAACCCATACCACTGAAGAAGACGGTCCGTATTCTGGGGGTACTTGTTGAACGGTCCCTCAACTTCGAGCAGCACTTTAAGGCGATCAAGAACAACTGCCGCAGTAGGATCAATTTGATCCGCACTATCTCTCGCCCCCACCGGTCTAACAATCGTGACACTCGTTTCCGGGTTGCAAGAGCCGTCATCGATAGTCGCCTACTGTACGGTCTTGAGATGACGTGCATCGCCACCGAAAAGCTCGTGCAGATACTAGCACCAACTTTTAACACCTACGTTCGGATTGTCTCCGGTCTTCTTCCGTCAACGCCCGCCGAGGCCGCATGCATCGAAGCGGGTATTCTGCCCTTCCGTCATCGTATAACCGCAGCAATTGCAACGAAAGCCACTGCCTTTACCGCAATGACCTCTGGAAATGACAGGATCTTTCCCCTCGATGAGGGGAACAGACTCCTCCGCATGACTGCCAATTCGGAGCTCCCCCCAGTGGCCAAGGTCCACTGGTACGGAGACAAAAGTTGGCGCATACCTCCACCAAAAATCGATAGTCGGATAAAAAGCAGGTTCAAGGCTGGAGATAACTCTGCAGCACTGAAAGAACAATAGCCGAACTGCTATGCTTGGACTACCCAACCCATGCCCACATATACACAGACGGATCGCTTTCCCGAGCCGGGGTCGGAATTGGAGTAGCCGGAATTTCAGCACCGATGAGTAGCAGCCTACCACCACAATGCTCGGTATTCTCCGCCGAAGCTGCGGCCATCTTTGTTGCCGTTACAACACCCTCGGACCGGCCCATACTGGTGCTATCCGATTCGTACAGCGTGATACAAGCGTGATACATCGGAGACCATGACTCACCCCTGGATACAGGGTATTGTGGAGGCCACACCTCTGAACACGGTGTTTTCCTGGATCCCTGGGCACTGCGGTATCCCAGGAAACAGCGAAGCCAACAGCCTGGCAGGGTCTGGACCAGCTGGCCCCCATTACACCGACGAAGTGCCACTACAGGACATAAAGCGATGGATAGTCAGCAAAATGTGGGAAGCCTGGGAAGCTGAGTGGTGATGATGATGATGATGGTCCCACCTCTTACCCCTACAAAGGTTTGAGCTGGACGAGTTATCTTTAAGATAATTAAATATAAACATTTTAACCAGGTTTGCAAACAAAATCGAGCTGGTTACAATTACAGATATAAATGTCCTGTTAAATATGCTATAGGCATCAACCAAAAACATTCAAAGGTGTAGCTAGTTATCAAAAGTCCAAGTATAGTCCTCGACAATACTTCCATTTACACGTGACCTGGGATTTACACGTTTAAGCTTCCGCAGTGCCAGAACTATATCCAAGGAAACGACTTCCAGCCAATCCTTTACTAATTTAAGGCTTTTGCCACAATTTCCACGTATTAGTCATTTATACCTGTATTCCGCGCGCGAGGCTCAAACCATTGTAGACTACTCAAAGCTATTTTTACTATTACTACTACAAAATCAAAACAACTAAAAATCCATCATCACCATCGAGGCAAACAATGTAGTTTTTTGTATATGCTACACAAATTACTAAAATGTCTTGATGACAGTCTCCATACAAAATAATCCGTTAGTGATAACTTTGTCAAGATACATGATTTATCCATTCATAAAAAATTAACTGCTCAATAAACAGCTTTTACATGTGAAATGCAGCGTCTCTTGAATTCTGTAAGTGTAGTTGCACGCTTGATGTGTCTAGGCATCGAATTGAAAACATTTATACCTTTGAAAAATAATGAATTTTGTGAAGCATTATTCAAAAGATGTGGTGTTCTTACTTCATCCGCGTTTCTAGTGTTATATCTATGAAAATCACTTCCTCTTTCAATCCGATCACACAAATATCGAGGCAGCAAACCGTTAACTACTTTAAAAATGAACACCATAGTCAAAAACACAATTCTTTGCTTCACTGACAGCCATTGCAAAGCGTCTAGCATAAAAGTTGAGGAAGTGAATCTATTACATCTTAAAATCAAACGCATTACTTTATTCTGCAAACGCTGTAATCTCGATATTTGTGTTTCATTGGCCAAAAATAAAATGGAAGGGCAAAAGTCTAGATGAGGGGAGATGATTGATTTGTATAACTGTATTTTACTACCAATAGTTAAATCGTTTTTCAAGCGACATAGGATTCCATACTTCTTGGCAATTTTCTTGATGACATTGTCAATATGAGAATTGAACTTGAGTTTGTCATCAATAATCACGCCAAGATATTTAATTTCCTGAACGCGATCAAGTGTCTCATCATCAATAACAACAGAGACATCATCATCTACACGATTCCGCGAAATTACCATGAATTTAGTTTTACTTATATTCAATTTCAATTGTTTATACTTCAACCATCTACTTAGAGAACGCAAATCTTCATTCAAGCGTGAAACGGCTTCTTCTAAATCTTTAGCTGCAATGAATAACACAGTATCGTCAGCAAAAAGATTAATATCACAAAACCGTAAAACTCGTCGCATGTCATTAATATACATAATAAATAAAAGGGGCCCTAATACACTTCCCTGAGGCACTCCAAGGTCATTGTCAACGGGACAAGATACAAAATCATTAAAAACAGTCCTTTGTGTTCTGTCAGATAAATAGCTTTCAAACCATTTGTATGCAGAACCCGAAATTCCAAAGCGCTTGATTGTTCTCAACAATAAGGGCCTAGAAATTGTCTCAAAAGCGCGTTTTAGATCCAAAAACACAGCAACAATCGTATCTTTATGCTCCAAATTTTCTTTCCATTTAGCTAACACTAAGTTTAACGCGGTTTCACAAGAATGGCCTTCCCGGTATCCCGATTGTTCCGGTATCAACAAACAGTTACTATTTAAATATTCTAACAGCTGGCCTTTTACAACAAGTTCTAAAATTTTCTCTAATGTGTGCAACATGTTGATGGGACGAAACTCTTCGGCTTTAATCGTCCCAGCAACTTTTTGTATAGGAACAACTAAAGATTCTTTCCAAATATGCGGCACGTGCCCAGATTGCAATGATTGATTAATAAGGTCCCGCAGAGTGTGTCGAATGACATGAAAGCAATCTTGAATAACTCTAGCATTAACATTATCTACTCCAGCCGTTTTTCCTAATGAAAAGCAAATATTTTTAAGTTCATCTAATGAAATTGGGTGAAAACCATTAAATCTACAATTACTATTAATCGGCTGTTTTATTTCGTCCGGTTCATTGATCAGTTCAATAGATTGATTGATCAGTGAAACGCTCTCAACGAAATAGTCATTGAACTTAGAAGCAATTACTGGTTCTGACTGTTCTAATATGCCATCAAAAGTTATGGTCCGCGATTTACAATTACTAGGCTTCATCAAAGATTTCAAAATTTTCCATAACTCTTTGCTGTTGTTTTGATGCTGATCAATTTTCCTCTGAATATATTCACATCGAGTTTTCTTAATTGATTGTGAATATTTATTACGCGCGACCGTGTACCTATTCCAATGATTATCACTATTAGATCTACAAAACTTTTTGTACCATTTGTCCCTCTTACGTTTAAGACGCAAAAGATCCAAATTGTACCAGCTGTTCGAGTTTTTCAAAGAAACAAACTTTTGTTCAACTAATTTATTGGTACAAGTTTTCAAAACGTTAGTAAGAACAGCTGCATCTTCATCTAAAGTTCCGGTAACTAATGGAAAATCCACGCTTCTCTCAACAAGATTCGAAACAGCTTGCTTCGAATATTTCCTCCAGCACTTCAATTTTACAAAATTATCGTTATCGTTAACACTGTCTAAAACATTAATTACTAAAGTTTCATGATCGGTTATTTTCAAATCAGCTTGAGCAACTGAACTGACAGAATCAAAATTAGAATAAACATGGTCAATCAAAGTTCTACTGTGCCGGGAAATACGCGTACATTCACTTACTAATTGTTTTAAATTAAAGAAATCAGCTAATTGCTTCAGATGGTTCGAATTGCTAGTATCATGCCAATTAATGTTAAAATCACCCGCAAGTATATTTAATTTACTAGAATCTAAAAATGTCTCGAACCAGTTCTCTAAAATTTCAATAAAACGCTGATTACTTGAACTGGGAGAATGATACAAAACACCATAATTACCCATCTTCATGCCACGTTCAACTGTAATGCCTAAGAACCAATTGCCATCAATAACTTCGTTTTGGCGAAGATTGAATTGAACTGATTCTTTGACATAAATAGCAACACCGCCAGTGTGCCTTGAATGTGACAAACAAGCAGCAGCTTTATATCCCGGAATGCTATACTGATCAAAAGATTCAATTTCTACAATATGTGTTTCTGCTAACAAAACCAAAAGTGGACGATTATCTTCTACAATCTGACGTAATGTTACGTAGTTTGTAGATAACCCCGCAATATTCAAATACAAAATCTCTAATTTACTCACATTGCTACTGGAACTTGGTTGCTATTTATTGAAATGTAAGCTGCTTTTTTTCTGATCATATAGTTTTTTATACACAAAACAATTAGAACTAAATGCTGCGTGGTTGACGTCCAGATTTAATTTACGCTCTTTATTAGTTTTTAAACAATTAACGCATTTCAATACAGTTGACGTACACTTAGAGGTGCTATGTTGTTTGCTGCATCTAGAGCATCGTTC